GCCGCCGCCTTCCTCCTCCATTTGCTGGCTCCTCACCACCACCGCCACTACCGACGCCGCCGCCAACGCTGCGCTACAACCGAGAGCTCATACTGCAATAAATGCTCATACGCCGGCTGCTGTTCTCACCTCAGCTGCGGATCATTCACTCCCTGCTGACGGCCACGTTCCCATCAAGCTACAATGCCACGCCCGGGCTGCTGGGGGCGGTAGAGCACTGAAATACATTTACATTCATGCTTAAGGGTGCTACCTGCGAACGTAGCGAGTTAAAACGACGAAGTACTCAAATGTCAACAATATCGCAAATCACCAGATGAGGTACAAAATGGAGGTAGCCATTTATTTGCCAAAAATTAATCATTTAATGGGTGAATTTAAAAATACTTCCTGGCAATAACGCCCCACCCCCATTTTTGTCCCTTTGTTTTGCAGTCGTCAGTGCGAAGCTAATAGCCTGTTCGCAGGATCGTTGTGAAATGAAAATGTAGGCTAAAAAACAATTTAAATACTGGATACGTGAAATCTCAATGACTTAAAAGGATACATTGTGCTTTGTTTTACCTCACAAGAATGAGGGATTCTGGAACGGTTGAAGGTTCAAGGCACCACAATATTTGTTTAGAGATCACACATTCCAAATATTTATATATTCCCTTGCAAAATGAAGGAAATCCAAAAGAAAAGAATATATTTTTAAACTGAATGAAAGTCGGAAGGCTGCCATGAAGCTTTAGTTTAATGCAGTCCTGTAAATGTAAGCTAACAAGTTTGTTTTGGTTGTGCTATAGAGAAGCACTGCCATCGTGTGTCCAGGAAAAAAACTACACCCCACATCAGCACTTATGATGTCACCAAGCTCAGTAAAATGTTTATGGAAAAGCACAAGCACTATTCATTTATATGGTTATTGTTTCTGGTCATGAGGGATCACAAAGTTTAACTGAGTTTCCATCTGGACTTGTAAATAGGAGTTTATTGTAGTCGCAATTGCACAACCTCACTGATAGAAAAAGAAGTCAGGAAGAAATAAAAACTGTACTGTGTGCTGAGGAGTAAGCACTTTGGTTCTTTATGTCATTTGGGTACTAATTTTGACACTTTCACTTGTGCCACATAATTAACCTCAGCTTCTGAATCGACCAAACGACAACATCTCTGGGATGCGTTTGTTAGTCGTCGGACCAAAATACTCATCACTTACTAAATATCGGATTCTTCCGACTCAGTGAAATGAACTGCAGCAATGGACATCTCTACTTATGCCTACTTCAACCTCCAAAATTATTACAACGATCGTCATAATCTTTTGGCTTTTATGGACGCCGAGTGTGTTCCTTATTCAGCCATGTCGAGCTTCTGCGGAGAACGCCAAAGACGAGGACAATTCTTAACGTCCATAAAATTGAACGTGTATCCTTACTTGGCAACCGTTGGGGATTTGTACGGCATTATCACAGCCAAAGTCGTTCACCTTTGCTCAAGGATTGTTTACGAGGGTATAACAACAGCGCATAAGCTTTCACGCAACTCCAAAGCACATTCTTATTATTTCGACTGCACGCGTCAGGTCAGAACATTTCGTGCACGGCTGGCACTGAGCGGCTCGCACATTGTTCCGCGCTGAGTAAACAGACTCAAACGCCGGTGTTTTTTCGCTGGGGAGGTCGCCTCTCCCACACGAAGGCCTGAACAAACACTTTTTCACCATTTTACAGTTTCCCCGGACGGGAGGAGAGTCCCGTTGGCCAGGCAGGTTAATTCAGGTGTGTCCTGGCTTAACCATTAAACTTGACTGCGGCTGACCAAACATTCACTTGGGAGAAAAATGTCGGGAAAGGTCATTTTTCTGCTTTCTGTGGCGCTTTCGTCGGCTCAGCAGCTCTGCACACCAGGTAGGAAACAAAAGAATCTTTATCGACGAGACCTTAGCTTATAAGAGTGGCAGCGCCATGGTTTTGAACGCGAGTGTCAAAGTCGTTTTTGTCGCGGGCCACATTGGGAAGCCAAAACTATGTGTGACTGCCTTACATTCACGCAACACATTGATGATTAACTAGTTTTGAAATCAAAACCCAGTAAAAAGTGTTCAAATATTATTCAATTTATCTAAAAAGAGTGATTGGTTAAAATAAAAGCTTATGTTTTTAAAAGTGAAGATCATTTTGGTATTTTAGCTCATTCAACAAATTCCAAACCGTTTCAGCTCTGTAAGATATGAACTCATTTTACGACCTCCAAAATTCTTCCGAAATAATTTTCCCCTTTGAATCGTGGCAGGCGCTTCGGATGGCTACAAAGTTCGGCTGAGCATCCGAACGGCTCTGGGAGACAACGCGGTGAGTACTATCTGGCTCCATCGTCATTACGCATGCTAATGCGAGCTAACGGCCCTTGATGCCATGGCGACCGGGCCCATCTGGCGACTGCTCGAAAGCCTTTTGATGTGCTCTTGTTGTTGCTCGTTGCAGTATGTCTGGAGCCAAAACGAATTGTTCCTCTTTCGAGCCACGCTGGCTTTCGCCATGAGGAATCATTTTGACGGCCAGGACTTCCAGTAAGGGAAAAAATATTTTGTTCATTTCAACGCTTACGTAGAGTGATGCTTTGAGATACGAAAGACCTGCTGAGTGACCTGCACTGCAGGCTGACAATGAATTAAACTCAACTTAGTTCACAACAAGCAGCGGTTTGAGAGATAGTACAGAAAAAAAAAGGATTCAAGGTGTCAAATGCTACTCCCAGTTTACTGCCTCTTTGCTTCATGCTCACATATTATGGGAAATGCTTTAGATGGGCATCTTTGTGGCAGCCTCATAACCCTTTTAGACTAATATTAATGCAATGAAGTTCAATATTATAGAGTGCCATTTAAAGAAAAAAAAGTATTGCAAGTGTTTTTTTATGTTTGGGAGGCTGGAACAAATTAAGCGCATTTCCATTCATTTCAGTGGAGCAAGTCGATTTGAAAGACAAAAGTTTTAAGATTGCCACTATTATCACATTTAAAAATCTTCTCATTTTTCTCATCAAATTTCAGTGAAACAACGCCTTTAAAACTAGTTTTATTGGAGTCAAACATGGAAAAAAAAAACCAGTTCACGTTTAACAGTTTGTTAATAGCACATGCAAGTTGCAGAAAAACAACAGCATGTGGACTATCGCTCCATAAAAGCCAATGAGTTGCATTTTATTTGTTTATGGGACATCTCCACAGAGTGGCCAATATCATTGTTTGTGACGAGACGCCGCGAGTGTCCTTTTGGTTCGTGGTCACGTGGCCGGACGACGCCACCCGCTTGGTGGATGGAGGCGAGGTGGAGCAGGCAATCAGGTGACTTCCTCTTTTACGTCAAACTGATTTTTAGGAGCATCTGAGCCAAGTGGATTTTCAATACTTTTTTCAATTTATTCAATACTTTTTTTCAATTTAGAACCCCTCTATTTGATTCCAGTCAAGAATTCTACTGTTTCTCATTGCTATGCAAATGATGTCAGGTGTCATTTTTGCGGGTATTTGTACCTGTCAGGAAGTCTCGGAAGCGGATCAACAGCGCCTTCCTGCTGAACGACTGGACTCTGGAGTTTGTGGGCATCGCGCCCACTCTGGCGGCTTCCCAGCTTCCCGCCACGCCACCGTGGCTCATTGCCTTCGGAGTGGTTATGGGTGCCGTGGGGGCAGGATTCATCATCCTCGTTGTCTCCGCGGCGGTGCAGAAGAGGCGGTGGGTACCGGCATGTTTTGTTGTGCACAGGTGGACCGGGTCTACGCCAATTCCATAAACTATATATTTTTAATTATGATAAAATCCCAACTGAAAATGAATCCAAATAAGGTTTCATATAAACCATAAAATACAAAATTGTAAAAAAATCCGATATCCTCAATTCACCAAAGGCGGCACACCTGGACATGACACGAATGGCTGGAGGGAGGTCACGTGATTGGTAGACACGAGGAACAAGGCGGATGAGAACAAGTGGAGTCAAAAACCTAACGAGCAGACAAGACGTGAACATGGGACACAAGAAAAAAAAGACATCATATGAAACAGAAAGCAACCTAATCTACACATCAATTATGAATTATTTGCTTCTAAATATAAGATACACTAAAATTCATCAAATATTTAACATTTCAGGTCAATTCTTTGACAACGACATTTCCCCCCTCCCCTGTTTTTGACCCTCAGAAAGAAGAAGGAAAACGTGGAGGACGTCGCCGAGGACGAGGATAGTGACGTCGAGGCGCCGGCGCCCAAACCGCTGAAAAATGGCAGCGTGCGACATGAGCCAAGCGGCGTCTCCAACATCGCCTTCTCCGACGACGAGCGAGTCACACAAATGTAATTTCGGGACGAAAATATCGACATGATGCCATATACAGTATACAGTCATCCCTCGCTCTAACGCGGTTCACTTTCCGCGGCTTCGCTGTTTCACTGATTTTTTTTTTTGTGCAGTTTTTTAAATGCTTTTAAACAGTGAATTGCGTTCGTCATCCTGATTGGCTAAGGCACTGACCGACATGAACAGTCCAACCTCATACTGACTATAAAAATATTATTTTACAGTGTAGTATTTCCAAAAACTATGATAGTTATTTGTTGAAAACGTCTGTTTTTTTTGTGCTTGGGCCTGAAAACAGGTTTTGGTCTTTGCTATCATTGTATACATAGTTCAGTATTGTATAATAACTGTAAAAAATAAAGCTCACAACTTCACGGATTTCACCTATCACTGGTTCTTTTGGGAATGTAACCCCCGCGATAAACGAGGGATTACTGTATACGTATACACCTCCGCTTTGTTCAACTTTTCATTTTTTTTAAATCATTGTGAAAGTCTTTAACCGTATGCTTTTCGATACATTTGCTGATACATGTACAATAAATCTACATTTGACTAAAATGATAACATTCCGAAGATTGTGTGATTGAAACAATAAAGCCCACATTTTGTGTGACGTATTTATGAAGCCGCATTGTCATGAGTCATGACACAAATTTGGAGACGTCCTCAATGATTTAAAGGCCGTCAGTGTGTTGTGTCAAAACGAAATGAGGCGGGTAACGAAGCCCCAAAGTCTTCCTCTTTCATCTCCGCGACGCGCCAGACGGGGGAAGTGACAGCGGAGGAGGCGCCCTGTTGTAACCTGGGATGAAAATAGCTCACACATCGACGGAATCTGCCATTACAACCTAATGGCTGAAAACATGGCACGCCGTTGACGCGCCAAAATAGTGTTAGGGTGCTTTTCAAATTCACAATCGGCGATATCTTGACACCCCTCTTCTTATGAATGACAATTTTGGGCAAAAAAAAAAAAAAAAGCCAATGAAATGCTCATTTCCTGTCTGCGTGTATGACCATTAAACGGCTTGTTGAGGTTGAATCGTGTGGCTGCAGTTCCTTGAGTTGCCGGTGAGGGGCAGAAGTGAGCTGTCGTATGTTGGCTACCTGCCTTCATTTCTACGGGAAGACCGACAAGAGTGGAACCTCAGCTTACGAACCACGCAGTTGACGAACCATTTGTTTTGCAAGCAATTTTACATTTTAAAAAATTACCTCGATTTACATCCTGTGCTTAAAACGGCCTCCACCTGGCGTCTCGCTGCCTCCTTCGTTCTCTTTTGACACAGAGAACCCGCTCTCAAATTTGCTGTGAACGCGTCATATTGGTACTTGAGTGCCACTTGATTAGGAGTCCCGGGGGGTGGAAGTGGGCACATTTGAAGGGTGCTGGTGGAATGTAAGCTTCTATTTGAACAGGTTGCCTTCAAGCTGTCGGCAAAAGGAATGGATTTTGCTCCAAACAGCTGCAGAAAAGAGCCACATATCTTCATGTGTTTTTGGTGTTGAGGGAACTCATTAAAGCAAGGGGTGTCAAACTCATTTTTGTCGAGGGCCACGTTGGAGTTACATCTTCCCTCAGAGGGCCGTTACGACACTGAAACCAAATAAATGTTTAATCATCACATGGTATTATTACTTGTACACAAAAAAAGATGGCTCACTAGTTTTAAAATCATAACACTGAGTGGCCTGAACAAGAGTTAGGTACAGTGGATCTATTGCAAAAACAAAATATGTGTACATTTTTGAAATGATTTATCTCTGGCATTTGAAGATTGCAGATTTTTTTTTTTTGGAATCCTGTGTAGCAAGGAAGAAAGGAAAAAGAAGTTGTCTGCAGATTTAGACGTAACGTGGAAAGGAATCAAGCAGCAAGGTTGTTCGGTACACAGGAAGGAAGGTAACTAGGTAATTCGGAACAACAGCATCTAAAGCTAACTCGGTAGGTAGGAAGGCTGGAGAGTTGGTGGCTTGTTCAGAAGGCGGGTAGGGCGGAATAAAGACAAGCAGGAATGTTCTGAGGTATAAAGAAAAGTAGGTAGAAAGGTAAGAAAGTAGCGAAACCGACCGGTAACCATCATCCTCAATTCGCCCCCCCCCCCATGCAACCGATTGACTACTCATGAGCCAAAATCAGCTACAGCAGTAAACAGTTTTTTTTTTATCTGCACAAGGTTGTTGTTTTACTGAACTTTGACAAAAGAACACAACAGGCCGCAACAGTGACAACCAATCAGATCAGTCCAATTCATATTCAATATCATATCCTGCTCAATAGTTGATGAGGGTCCATTTTCCAACGTTGCAGATTTTCACGGCTGTGCTGGAAATGAATATTTCAATCAATGTGCATTTTTCAAAGGTTTTGTGTTGAAAGCCCGAGTGCATTATTCAATGCCCAGCGTGTAAAGTGAAAGATGATCTGTGCGTTTGCCATCACGGCGGCTGTGAAATGACAGTGGTGGTGGTGGGAGGTGATCGTGAAACGCCGTGCTATGCTTTCAGGTTTTCCTGGAAGAATCCAGAATCCATCCATCTAACTTCTTCGGGGTCGGGTCGCGGAGGCAACAGCCTGAGCAGGGGAACCCCAGACGTCCCGGACGCTCCTCAACCGCGTCGTCCAGCTCGTCCAAGGATATTCCAAAGGCGGTCCCAGGCCAGCCGAGAGACTGAGAACATTTGCATCGACTGATTCTGCATCTCGAAAGGTGTGACTGACAGGCACCTGCAAACGGCACCGCTTTGTGTAACCATGACGGCGGGTATTGGGGCAAAGACAGCGAAATGCCAGAAACAAAAATCATTGCGACAGATCATCGACGCGACTAATATACAATTTTGGAGCGTCTGAATTTGGGGGCTGACATGAAGCCAGTCACAAGAAGCAATGAAGCCATATCACGTATGACAAAACTTTCCTTGTGTCTGGCTCAGTTCAGAGCACTCGGACAATTTGCTTGTGGCCTTTTTACGGGACAAATTTTCACGCTTTCTGTCTGGGGTTTTAAAAACCGAATGGGAAGACGAATCCGATGACCGCGTGGCTTTGAAGCAATTAGTGGGCCGCTCGATTTCTCAGTCATGGTTGTTTGCCTCCTCGACTACCATTTCCAATTCTGTCACTTCAAGCTGCGTTTTGCGGCAATTTCCAATGGTCCAAACCATGAAACCTGCTCCAGTTGGTTCAGTGAATAAACACGGAATTTAGCGTCTGCTATTTGGGCTCTTGGTAAATCAGGCCTGTCGTCTCTCCAGGTTCTTCCCCGGGGGCCTCCTCCTTGTGGGACTAAACCGGGAATGCAAATGCTTTCCCTCAAAAGTCCCACCTCAGTACCGCCTTCTCTTGGATCTCGGCGGTCTGGGAAGGAGCAGCTTGGACCTGGTCGGTCTGGGCGGGCTCCTCGCCCGCCTCCTGCTCCTTGCTACTCTTCCTCTCCCTGATGAGCGCCACCAGCCGCTGGAACTTGACGTTGAGCTCCTTCATGCCTCCTGCCGTCGGGTCCGGGTCCTTTCCGTTCTCGCCTCGGTCGTCGTCCTTCCCGTCCTCGCTCCCCAGTGAGCTCAGCGACTCGGCCCGTGAGTCGCGGCCCTCGAATTCGTAAGTCTGCAGGGAGTCGTACGGCGGTTGCGATGGGTCGGACGTCACCCGGTTCAGACGGAAGTTGAGCAGGTCCTCCATTCGTAAGGGTTGATGGTCGTCAGGTATCGTCCTGGGTAGAGTCGTCGCCACGGCGCTTCCGTTCAGCGAGCCCACGATGCTGTACGTGTCCGTCACGGTGAAAACGGGAAGCTTCGCGTTGGGGTAACTCCGCTCGGAAATGGACGGCAGCGACCAGTCGGTGTCGGTGTCCTCGACGGTACAGCTGGTGGCGCCGGTGCTGATCAGAGTCTGGTTGGCCGACGAGCTGCTGGGACTCTGGCAGGAAGAACCGGTCGGGTCGGAGCAGCTCAGACTGGCCGGACCGCTGATTGGCACGGACTGGACCTCTGCTGGGGTGAACTGCAGGAAAAAAAAAAAATCAACGCTCCTTCCTGCTTTTCAAAACGAGATCTCAACGGTTACCTTAACGCGGTCCTGCTTCTGTGTGTCAACATTCATCTTCGTTCCATCTTCGGTCCCGCCCGTCAGCCGACTCAGCGTGTGCGCCGCTAACACGCTTGCTCGTCCCGCCTCGGGAGGGCCTCGCTGCACCGGCTGGTTCCGGACGATCGGAGCGGCGTCAGGGTGGCGTCGGCCCGGCGGAGGAAGCTGCGCGCCTGCCTGCAGCGGCCCCGCCTGATAGTAGTAGTCCCGGAGGGAAGGCAGCGTGTGCACCCCGTAGCACAGCCGCCCGTACAGGGGCGCCGAGCCGGGCCGCTGCTCGGGCTCCAGGCACGGGTGGGGGTTACGGGTCACGCTGTACGTCCTGGCCCGCGAGGGTGGCGCGCTCTGTTGCGTGTACCATCTGCAGAGGCAAGTACCAATACTTTGTTACTGTCCCAAAGTTGATTTTTTTCACACCCAAACAATCACAGCGACCTCTCCCTTGCCATCCAACTCACATGTTCCTGTGCACGTTTTGGATCCTGTGCATGCTCTGGAGCGTGGCCATGTCGAAGGCGGCCGTGTCTGCCTCGCCTCCGCCCTCGTCGTCATAGGAGATGATGTTCTCCCGGATGTCGTCGTCCTCCAAGGATGAGTGGGCGTCTCGTTTCTGACGTTTCAGTGACAGGGACAGCGCGCACACCACTATGGGCCCAAAAATACATTTTGGCTCCATGTCATAATCATTTTTGCAAATGATTTTGCGGAAGCTAGCGTTCGCATCGCCCTCTTCATTCGAAGAACCGGTGACCTACCCAGCAGAGTGGTGACGCAGGCCAGCGCCGCCATCAGGATGACCAGGGTGAAGACGACCGAGGGCGAGGCGGAGGGCGCTGGCCGGCACACGGCGCGCCGCTCCCATCGCCGACCCCGCGTGCGGGGGCTGCGCTCCTCCGTGCGCATGCCGCCCCGCAGGCACGGGCAGACGGTCACGGTGACCGTGGCCGTGTTGGCCAAGCCCGAGGCGCCGTCTCGCAGCACCACCGGCACGTAGAGGCTGACTAAGGACGACGAGTATCCGGGCGCCGGCTCCAAGGACGACTGCAGCACCAGGCTGGCCGTCACGCCTGAGGACGACGACGACGGCAAACGGCATCGTGAGTCAGCGTGCAACTTCAACATCCCTTTTTCATCCTCTTCTGTCTTTTAGCCTTCATTTACTTCCCGTTCTTTTACTGGCCCTGAACATACATGACATACTCGACTGTTTTTTCTTTTTTTTTTGACATCCTTTACTGTCCTTGAACATCTTGATCACTCTTCACTGTCTTTCACTTTTGACTCCGCGGTCTACGGGCAGATCAGTACAGTGGTACCTCTACTTACGAACGTCTATTCATACGAAATGTTCAAGTTCCGAAACGCCTCAACGGGAAACTATTGCCTCCTGTTACGAAAGAAATTTCAAGATACGAAAGGTAAAAATACAGGATAGGCTGCTGCTCGCCGCTCCGAGTTTCCTGAACGCAACATACTCATAGCTGCTCTGCCATTGGCTATTACCCAGCATCATCCTGGCATCCGATTGGCTAAGAGGGACCTCAACCGTATGTGTCAATATGTGTAGATAGATAGAGATGTGTATGCTGCGTCCTCGTCATTCGCCCAGGAGGTGTTCCGATACTTGTACGTAAATTTGAATCACCCAGAAAAAGTTTTGACCAGTCAGGTGATCGCTCACGATGCTGATGTTTGCCTTGGACATTTTCAAAGGACAAAAGCAAACGTCCTCGGATCAGTTCTTTACAAAACGGCAAGCAAAAACCACCCTTCTAAGAGAGAACGTGAACTAAAGAGGGCAAAACACGATGAGGACGCAGTTGAAGGTTAAATGACCAACATTTTTATTCTTTACTCTCGTGTTTGTTTTTTCACATGATGCACAAGTCATTTATTGTGCAATAATCTAATTGTAACGTATTTGTTACATATCTTGATGCATTTTTATGCTTTGGAAAACATTTCTGTCTGAATTTTGGGGGGCTTGGAACGGATTAGGGCATTTACATGGAAAACGCATCTCAATTTACACATTTTTCTAGTTCAGAAATTTCTTGCAGAACCAATTAATTTCCTAAGTCGAGGTACCACTGTATTGCAAACGTGTATCCTGTACTCTGTCCGTCAAAATATGTCTCGACGTGCCCTATTGCAGGGGTCCCCAACCTTTTTTGCCCCACGGACCGGTTTATGTCAGACAATATTTTCAGGGACCGGCATTTAAGGTGTGGCGGAAATAATACAACAAAATAATATGGTATGAGCTGCATGAAAACTGTGGTGTTTTCGAAATATAATAATAAACACAAGGAGCGTCTAATCTGGCCGCAACACTCCAATCGCTATGGCAATGTTTAATGCCTTCAAAATACGATACAACACAAATTCAAAGTGCATGAAAATGACCACTCACCACAGCCCCGAGCTTGATTTTCTGCAACCAGACGGTCCCATCTCGGGGTAATAGGAGAGACAATGACACCGCAAGTGTGTGGTTTATGTCCAGTCTACTTCGTAATTTTGTTTTCGTCGCCGTTGCTGCATAATCCCCCCGCCTCACACCGGTAGGATGTCGGAAATAGCAAAAGTGCTATTGTGGCGATCTCAGAGTATTCAGACATAACTTTAATCCAGTTGTCTCGAACGTACTTTTAAGGCCGCCGTCATTTGCGATCTCCAGCAGTTTTTTTACTCATTTTGCGAGCTCCGGTGTTTGTTTTTAGCCTAATTGGTCGCGTTACGGAGAAGCGTGGCTTGACGTGTGTCAAGCTGGACACAGACGGATGTAACGGAGAATCCGGTAAGTTTTCAAAATAAAACATCTTTCGTATTCCGAAATAAATAAAACGGAATTAAGGCAAGTTCTTTCTGTGCGGCCCGGTACCAAATGCCCGGCGGACCGGTACCGGTCCGCGGACCGGCGGTTGGGGACCCCTGCCCTATTGTCTTGCATCGCCATTTGCTGCCGTCCTTTAATGTCCTCACCGCTCCTCAACAGCCCTTTATTTCATTTCTGTAGCGTACTCTACCACCCAGTCATGTCATACCTCCGCTGTCCCTGATGGAGAGGTTGAGGGCCGCACTGGACTCGGGTGCGATGCTGAAGTGGACCGGCGCGTCCTGCCCTCCCTGGTCTCGGTCGACAGCACGTAGAACCTGAACAACCTGCGGGACATGGACGCCATGCGACTCACGGGCAAAAATAGCACGCGCACGGACTTTGAGGTGGATCTCAAGGATGTGGAATGAAGTGCTTCAACGGCTTCGATAGATGCCATCAGAATTCAGGAAGAAAACATGCGACAGACCTGCCCCGGGGCGGTGGAGTCGCAAACCGATGTGGTGTATTGTCTGTCCAATTCGGGCGCGTTATCGTTCTGGTCCAGTGTTTCTATGGCAACCAGCACCCTTGACACAAGATTGGGGTTGTCTGAACACAAATGGAAAAGCTCGAAATGTTCATCAAGTCATCGCCGAAGTTCCATTAGTTCCACCGCGCACTTTGCAGACGGTGCTTTGGCTGATATACGAGCAGCGGGGCCCCGCGGGTCGTGGAAACGCACCCCTCTGCGTGGCGATGACAGTGATGTTGTGCCACTGCTCCCGCTCTCGGTCCAGCTCCATCACCGTGCTGATGAATCCCGTGTCGGAGGCGATGCGGAACAGAGCCTCGGGGTCCGACTGAGGATCGATGGAGTACCTGCGGGACGGGAAACAACCGTAGAGTGAGCGGGCGAACCGTTTGGGGGACAAAGGAGGTGAGCGATGGGGTGATAAACACCTGATGTTGGCGCTTTGTCCCGTGTCGGGATCCACGGCGTGCACGCGGCCCACCGAGCAGACGGGCGGGCAGTTCTCCGACACGTCCAGATGGTAGCGGGCCTGGGAGAAGCGCGGCGGCTCGTCGGCGTTCAGGACCATTACCCGCACCATAGCCTGGTCCTTGAAGGGACCGTCCTTCAGGTAGCGGGGGTCCACCAGGGGGTTGGCCACCTCCACGGTGAACGAGTACGAATTGCGAGACTCGTAGTCCAGCAGCTGGTTCGTCGAAAAAGAAAACAATCTGGATGTTTTTTTTTTTTCCGGTGGTTAGTACCCATTCGGGCTGGATGATAAGGATCCCGATTTTGATTGCAGTTGAAATCGCAATGAATAAATCGATTATTTCTTGACTTCAAAACGTCGTTTGGTAAAACGCAACGACTCAAAACGACTGTCATAGCCTCGAGCACACTCAAAAGTAATATTAGTGTATTTAATATTTGAGCATGGTTGCCTTCTTGTTTTGGAAGCGTCCCCTGAGCTGTAAAATATTTGCAGAAACATTGTGGCTCATTTGTAGATCGTGGTTCAAAAAATGTTTTGCAGTTACTTTTATCTTTATTTGGACTTTTGTTTTATCTCACCGGTTGGCTCTAATGAGGTGGATTAATTCTCATCCGGGGCCTGAATTGCACACTTAATTTAACATTGGGTGTATTGTCATAATCTGCAAATGTCGTTAAGAACCACCCCCCCCCACACCCCACCCCACATTCTGAGCACAAAGACACATTTACCTGCTTCTTTTAATACATTTTTCCGTGCTGATCACAGACGGAATGACACAGACAGTTTTCATGGCGAAACATAGAACATTATGTCGGCAAATGTGAGTTTGGCGGATGATTTCTCGGTTCTAACGATGCTTTTTGTCAATTAAGGAATAAATGCACATTTGTGGGATGAGCGGCACAAGCAGAGCGTGTGTAAAATTTGCCCAGGCGCTTCAGTAACGAGCCAAACAAGCCATTACGGCCTGGTCACACACTGCTGTGGTACGGCTCAACTGAGCACTCTAAATCAGAGATGGGGCAGCTGGCGGCCCGTTGGCCACAGACCACACTCTGAGTGGCCTCTTGATTAATTGTCAGCAACAAAAAAAAAAAAAGTTTTTTTTTCTTTTTTTTCTTGGGGCTGTTATGTTGGAAACGCTCACTTTGTTCAGCACAATGATGGCTTCTCGCTCCCTGGCACTGATGTTGAACGTCTGCGCCTCCTCAGCGTCCATGATGGTGAAGTCCAACAGCGCGTTGTCGCCTACGTCGGCGTCGGTGGCCGTGAGACGGCCCACCTCCACGCCCGGCGCCGCCAGCTCTGACACGGAGAATGCCCATGCACGCCTACGGGGAGAAACAAACAAACAAACAAACAAAAAAATATGACATCCAACATTGTGGAGCGTCATGTTGGTTCAAGTGGAAAATAATTGGCTATTTTGAAGGTTTGCTGTGAAATGGAAAGACACACTTCAAAAAAATTGGGAAAACAATGCAGAGCAGGTGGAACTAATAATGTAGATCCCCCAAGACAACCACATCAACATGTATACAAACAACATCATGGAGTTGATTATCAAAACAATGCAGAGCAGGTGGAACTAATAATGTGGATCCCCCATGGCATAGAAGTGATGCACACAACATTGTGGAACAACCACATCAACATGTATACAAACAACATCATGGAGTTGATTATTTGCGCATTGTGTCTTCACTCAAAGGACATATCCTGACACGCAAGTCCAATAGCTTAATTCTCACTCATAATGGGAAACATCATCGACGGGCTAAAGGAACTAGCATCAATAATGTGGTAATTATAAAGCTTTCAACCACTTACATTTTAACATTCGTTTGATGTTTCAGCATCACATCTTTGTGTAGTATGTATTATACCGCCCCCTGGTGGCCAAAGTGAGCACAGGACAAGCAGCAGCACAACGGCCAATGAATTGAATAATAATAATAACAATAATAATAATAATAACAATAATAATAATACAATTTATTTATAAGCGCCTTTCAAAACACACAAGGACACTTTACAATCGGGAACAAAACACATTACCATCAAGATGCCCTCAATCTTTAATTCTTGACACTTTATGATATTATCTTATTCCTGCATCTTTTTCAATACAATACTGTAGCATGCTAATACTCTGACTCAAAAAAAAAAAACCCGACTAATATATTTGTGGGTATTTTGGGGAGGGCTAGAACGGATTAATAGGCATCTCCATTCATTTCAATACCAAAAGATTGTTTCGAGTGAAAAACATTGCCATGGAACGTATGAAATTTCTAAGTCAAGGCACGGCCGGAATGGCCTTGCGCGAGTTCAGCCAGAGGTTTGCTTGCCAAATCACACACACATTCGCGCCGGTTTAATTGGAGGGAGCGTCCTTGGTGACGGTTAATGACTCAAATAGGCCGCGCTGTATTGTAATGGTTGTTCAAAAAGAAAAACAACACACATAAAAAAGAAAAGAAAAACACCCCCTTCGCATTCAACCAATGTCCCAAACGGGAACGTTTGCTTTAATTATCTTTCGAAGAGAAATTAATGACCCCCCGCGCTTGGCTTTGTGGCGAGTAAAGGACGGGGCGACGGGCCCGGGGGGCGGCGGCGGTGGCGGTTCACAGCAGTCGGATTAAAAGTGAATAAATAACACACTGGCGGCACGTTAATATTAAACAGCTTCTATAAAGCAACGTACGCCAGGCGAATATATCACAGGAACGAGCTGGCAGTGGCTTTAAATGCGATGACGAATGGCCGCCTGGCGCGTGCAGAGAGATGATCTACGGCGCGGAGAAACGCGGCATACGTCTCACCAACCCGAGTGTTTCGCCGCTGATTTGGCTGCCTATTGAAGCGCACGGCACTGAACTTTAACGTGAATTATTAATAGCACGGTTCAGGGAAGGAGATGGACATGCTATTTCACTCCCGCGTGACCAGGCGCGGCCCGTCGGAGGTCGCGGAAGCAAAAGACGAACGGCAAACGAGCGTTCACAAGGACAAATGTCATTTTGCTGCAGGTTAGCGGAACGCCGCTAGGAACCGTGCAATCAATTGAACCCCGGACCAACTCGAGCAGCTCACAGGATTACAGGTTGTGTCGTCAAACAAAGCGCGTAAGTCCGCTAGCTTAATGCTAACACACAATGGGAAAAGCCATAGATTAGCTAAAGAAAGTAGCATTGATGTGAGGAAGAGGAGGGAAAAAGTGAGCTACGTGGCTGCGCAAGCTAACTGCGCCTGCTACTTACTGCGTCGGAAGTGAGGCGGGTTGTCATTGACGTCGCTCAGCCTGACGGTGACCGTGGTGGTCCCCGACAGGCCCCCCAGGTGGCCCCCCATGTCTCTGGCCTGGAGTACCGCCACGTACTCCTCCTGGGTCTCTCGGTCCATGTTGGGCACGGCGGTCCTCAGGATGCCTGAGCGGAGGAGGGATGGAGGGAAGACGGATTGGAATCAGCGCCACCACGTCGCTCGGGATCGATGTCAAACTTGCTCAACTGGGACAATGAAAAGCGGCACTGCTGGCAAAATGTGCGCGCGTCATCCGGACAAAGTGAGTGGACATGAGCAGCCACTAAAATGTCTTGTTGTTGTTTTAAAAACTAATTTGAATGCAGTCTTTTGCATATAAAATTGAAAAACAAAACACAATAATGTTTGAACAAAATAATTAATGACTGCTTTTCCAGCAACAATGCTTCTTTTCCCTCAAAAACAACATTTGGGAACAACAGCAAAACATCATTATCATGATTTACTTTTTATGTCAAAATTTTAAATGCAAAAAAATAATATATGACAAGAATTGAGCTGGAAACTGTACGAAAAAGTCAGTTTGGCAGCAAAGCACTACTTGAACCACCTGAACTCACCTCAACATAGTTTGTTGCCACAAGACGACACCAAAGCAACACTTATGTTTCTTCATTTATTTTCGCTCCTGACCTGTCTGCGGGTCCACCGAGAAGTAGTCGTGTCCTTCAGTGATGGCATAGACCAGCTGGGCGCTGTTTCCGTACGTGGGGTCGTCGGCATCCCTGGCCGTCACTTGGATGATGGACGTGCCTGCGGGTGCGTTAAATAAACACGTTGCACATCGCCCAGCGGATTAATACAGGATAAACTCGGATGTCCGTCCATATGTTGACAATGAAAAGAAAAAAAAAAAAAAAAGCGAAAGTATGATGCAAACATTGGAGCGCGACATGCACCTGCCGGATGATTGTTTGGTGTATAATGCTTATGTTTGGATTTTTTTGCGCAGCGGTGAAGTGGATTATGCAAAGGCAGGCGTTAATGCTAATCGGCTCGCCAGATGATTGGATGGGTTGTTTGAAATGTTTGTGTAGAGATTACGGGCCCCCCCTAAAGACTGACTTTGGTCATTTTGTGTGTGTGTGTGTGTGTGTGTGTGTGTGTGTGTGTGTGTGTGTGTGTGTGTGTGTGTGTGTGTGTGTGTGTGTGTGTGTGTGTGCGCACGCGTGTGTGTAGTTGTGAATGAAAGGTACTGAAGAAAATGTCAGTCAGCGCAAAGGCTTGATAAATGCCTCAATGCGAATGTATTATTCATACATGGCAGCTCTGGTATTCAAATTTCAAAGACCGAACCCTTATTTAACCTTAAAATATTTTCGGGGGCTTATTTGGAAAATAATGCAAAAACTATTCTGTAGCTTCATCATAATGCTTCCTATGTAATAATGAACACAGTGGCGCCTTGAGATATGACTCATTTATTCATCTCAAATCACCTTTCCCCCTTAAAAAGAATGGAACCGCCGTTAATCCGTTCCAGCCCCCAAATATAAATAAAAAAATTGGGGTTGATTTTTGTATATTGTACCTATGTTGGCCATCTCGGGCACGGTGGCGATGTAGGGCTCGGCGGGGAAGACGGGCGGGTTGTCGTTGATGTCCTGCACTCTGATGATGAACTGCGAGGACGGCTCCAGGGCGCGGCCCGTCAGGCGGTCGGTGGCGGTGGCCGTGAGGCGGTACTGGTCCTTCTCCTCGCGGTCCAGAGACTTGGTGACGTGGATGTTGCCCGTTTTGCCGTCGATGACAAACACCGAGCCCACCCCTTCGCCCTCCAGCGTGTACTTGGTGTGTCCGTCCCCTCGGTCCATGTCCGTGTGCAGCTGGTGGGCAAAAGACAAACAGCTTTTTCGTTGGCCGCTAATTGACATTCACATTCATTTGACTGGAAAGGGCCGTTCTTGGAGAGCTTTGGGGGAATTAAAACAATACGAGGATATTCTCTTTGAGGGAACCTCACTGAGTAAACACTTGTTTTTTTTTTTTTTGTAGTTACACAACGGGGTAAAGGGTGCCTTCATTTTCTGGAGCGAATTCAGCTGAGTTAATTCTGCAATAATTTTTTTAATTACCACCAATGCTAACTTCCATTCACCTAACGATGGTGCTTTGGATTATAAATTAGCATGAAGCATCAAGAAATGAGACGGTGTGGTTGAAAACTTTGGCGTTAAAATGCACAATTTGATCCTCTTTAGTTTGTATGTTTTGCTGCTCGGTATGTGTTAAAAGTTTCCATTTCATCTTTTGGTGCATTTGTGACAAGACATCATGTGAAACATAAAAAAAAAATAAATAAATAAAAATAAATCACGAAGATGTCCAGTCATACGCAATATCATCAGAATATGGCGATTATATGCGATGTGGAGCTTGTAGCGCACATCCAGCGTGATTCACGTTACCGCGTGACGTGCTCGGTCAGTCAATGAGAAACAAATGGTACCAGATGTTTGTGCGAGCGTGTGTGTGCGTGTGTGTGTTGACGGCACTAATGGGAGCATGCTGATGCTTGTTTACTCGACCCAGGCACACAAGCCAGGGGAGGTGTCGTCAGCGCGGACCCTCCTTAATGTTCACCACCAAATCCTCGACACATCTACTCACTTTTGCCAACATCCGTTTGACGATATTTGTCATGTGTGTGTTCATCCTATGGAACAAGACTGCAGAGACCGTCAAGTTTTTAATTTACTGCATTTTTTTTCACCCCCTCCCAAATTCAATTGAAGCATTGTCCCCACATACATAACTTTCCTACTCAGGATAATGCAAAAAACTTCATAAAATTTCTTCACAAAATCAAATTCATTTTGTCACACACCTGTCTTTCAGCGGAGAAAATATTTTTGATGAAAATTTAATTTTTTGACACAACTGCGAAAATGCATGCAACTTGGCCTGTCAATCTGAAAAAAGAAATCGCAAAAAAAAAAAAAACCCAAGCATTTCACCAAAATGTAATCAAATCATGATAAATTGAAAAAATATATTATTTTTCATGTCACCTAATTATTTTCCCCTTTTAATTTTATATGGACATGAATGTATTGCAAGTAAAAAAAAAAAAAGTGTATTGCGTGGCAAGCTTGCAAAGCAAAGGGGACGAGTGCGTCTGCGTGCGCGCGCATGCGTGTGAGTGTGCAGAAATGGCAAGGCTGCAAAGAGATTAGTCAGCTGCTGAGCTTTCTGACCAGGAACCTTGGCCGTCCTTGCGCCCTCAGGCCACATGTGCTCATGGTAATCTCACCAGTCTTACTCACTCACAAGCCCGCGCATATTCACTCTGAAATCATGAGCTCATCCTGTGTCACTACAACTCGAAAGTCCTTCCAAAACACGCACAGACCTCCGCTAAGGCAGAACCATCCGAAACATATGCAAATGCATATCCGATACGTTTGGCGAGGCTTTTTCACTCCAATCCTGTAGGTGGCAGTCTTGAATAAAAAAATAAAATAAAATTATATGCCAACCTCTGTTCGTCCGTCAATGGCGTTTTGCATTGCATGTTAGCATTAAGCTACTGAACTTTCATCAATGTAAAATTATGTGGTTTGGGAGAACATTTTGGCAATTATATAGAGAGTGTGTAATGCTCTTTTGTTAAATCAGGTCAGGATTAAAGACGTCAACTGGGAGTGGCAATTAAAAGGAAGCACGATTTTCCTCTAACATGGAGAACCATGCGAGTCAGAGAATAACAGCAGGCATTAAAGAATACTTTAAAAAGTGTCTTTTAGTAAGTTTAAGTGTCTATGAATATGTTTGTATCGGAGGGGTAAAACTTGGCACCAACTCCTTGACTTTAAGATGCCACAAGATGGTGTCAAAGCTAAATGCTTTTATTATTCAAGGCCTCGGCCTGAGCACAAAACATTGAAACGTCTTTTTAAAAAATTTTTTTTACCAAATCAACTCTGTTCAAGCGTGAGGAGCCCAAACATATCTGACATCGAACATGTTGGCCTTTCTCTCCCTCATAATCGGCGTGACAAGCCGAGATCGCTTCATCTTCAACCTCAACCCTGACCGGGCGTATATAACGTCCGCTCTTAGTGGCATAAACATGACACAAGATAGCGGCGTAGCACGACTTACGTCTTAACAAAACTCCTCAACTCACTTCAACATAGTACCCTAGCACCATTCCTGACAATAGACATGATTTTGGGTTGAGCACCACAACAGCAAATGACGGAGGAATTTACAAACGCCGAACCGCACATCACGCTCGGGGTTCGCCGGATTGTGAGAATACGAGTAGTGCAGGTGTTCCTAATGAAGTGGCTGGTGGGCGTGCATCTGGAGCATGCGTGCAATGCAGTCGACGGGGTCGAACATAAGCTCAAAGTACATCTGTGCTGGCGGGTAACGTTGAGGATTAAAAAAAAAAAAAGTCATAATGGCGCACCCGACACCATACAGTTTGCGCGATAAGCGATATTTTATGTATTTTTTTTTTTTTTTGTTGTGATGCGCTTCCCCTGCCTTCGTTTCTTCCTCAAAGCCATATGTTTGTGTGTGTGTGTGTGTGTGTGTGTGTGTGTGCTCTCCCATCACCCCCTCCTGGGCTGAGTGTAATTGTTGTCTCAGGCCTGCTGTGCTTCAGTCAGTGTGAAAAGGAAGGAGCAACGTCTCACCCCCGCCTGGCAAACAAAGCGGCGAAAGCACAATCACGCTGCCGCACTCAGCCGCCACCTTGCTTCCACCTCCTGCGGCAAAGGTGGAGACGCCGCTTTTTGGCAATTTCACAAGTGGTGCAAAAAATACAAATGCAGTGGCGCCTCAAGACAATGAATTTCTTCCATGAACACATTTGGAACTCAACACGTTCCTACCTCAAATAATTTTTTTCCATTGAAATGAATAGGAAAGCCAGTAATCTGTTCTAGCCCTTGCAAAAAAATGTTTTCACACAAAAACTAGCATGCTTTAATAGTACAATTTATGAAAAAAAATATTTAGTGATAAAAAGTAAGGATGTTACTGAATAGAACACAGGTGTCAAACTCAAGGCCCGAGGGCCAAATCTGGCATGCCACATCGTTTTATGTGGCCCGCGAAAGCAGATCAAACATGTCAACTTCCATGATGCTTTCTAATATGTCCGCCAAAAATTTTAATTCTCATATGCAATAAATAAGAGAGATGTTCGAAGCATTTTCTTGTTCCCAAACCCCTCATGATAGTAACTTAAACAAGAGTTGAATCAACGGTTATTCTTGACTTCTTTCGATGGTTTCACAACGGCCCTCCAAGGGAAACGGTAACGAAAACGTGGCCCGTGACAAAAACGAGTTTGACACCACTGGAATAGAATATCAAAAAAAAAATAAGCATTTTTTTTGCTTCAATTCAATGGACCTTGTCTTGCAACTGGTATGTGGGCCTTGGCCACTACAGATATAGATTAGAGTACGTCTGAGACATTTTTCACAAAGGATAAAGAATATGTGCACAGTGGTTCCTTTAGATATGAGTTCCCCAATTTCCAAGTTTATTTATTATTTTTCATGAAATACTGATAGATTTGACAGATGTTTCTGTCAAATCTGAGGAAAATCCCAATTTCTGTAGCAACAAGGTGGAGTTTGCCACTCTAGTTCTCCGTGGCTCGTTGTAACTTATTGAAGTGGAATCCAAACTTCTCGACTCCAAACTTCGCTACCGCTGTTTTTGTTCCAAAAGTATCCGTATGTTGACTGATGTTTGAGTACTTTTGCCACCTCTGATTTTCAGTCGAACAATCCGATCTGCAAGGAGAAACGAGGCGTTATCTTCACACGTCGCCCAGGCTTTATTGCGCAAATATGGAAGTAGCATTCCCCTGATTGCTTTAGCGCCGCTCGCCGACTGTATCAATAACAAGCAGAGCGGGATATTAAACATTTATGAGGAGTACGGCGCACGGCTAAGAAACCAATCTAGGCTGTCATTGTAAAGTATATCGTGCGGGCTCCGAAGCGGCTGGCAGCGCTCTCCTGTTAGCGTTACGCCTCGCCACTTTGACTCAGTGCTGGCGGCGACATGAGAGCAAAGCTATGAAATGCCACAAGTGGGGGCTCCCCCGGGGCCACCATGCTTCAGGTGGGCATCTGTGGCACTTTGTCAGCGTGACGGGTGAGAAGATTCCCCCGCCTGCGATAAACAGGAAGTCACGTTATACGCCCGGACGTGTCAGTTTGATTGGCTAGCTCGTTTTTACTTGTATTTATTTGACTTGCTTTTGATATTATTTTATTTTGTATTATGTCGTATATTGGTTCTTGTTTGACTTTTTCTCTATGATAAAAGCCAAAATTGTTGTTTAGGAAAAAAAAAGGAGGAATTGAATGTCTTCCGTGAACACATTTCTCAACACGTTCCTATCTCAAATCATTTTTTCCCATTGAAATGAATGGGAAAGCCAATAATCTGTTCTAGCCCTCGCAAAAAGTGTTTGTAATTATTTTTTTTTTCCACACAAAAAAATAGCATGCTATAATATTTTTGTTAACTATAAAAAGGAAACGTTTTTTGCTTCAAATTAATGGACATTGTGCTGCTAATGCTTAGGAGGACCTACTCAATGTCAATGTGTGAAGAGTGAGAAGATTCCAGCCTACAATAAACAGGAAGTCACGTTTTTACGTCTGGATGTGTCAGTTTGATTGCCTAGCTCGTTTTAACTTTTTTTATTCGGCGTATACTGGTTCTTGGTTTTGTTTTGTTTTTTTATTTCTTTATGATAAAAGCCAAAATTGTTGTTAAAAAAATCTTCACATTTTAAGTTTGCTTAAAATAAACGTTGTGATGTAAATAACGTAAATAAATGCTATTATTTTTATTCTAGCCACATAGTATAGTAACTTTTAAGGACTTAAGACTTTTTTTGCAGGTCTACTCGTGATGGAAATGTCTACCAAATTCCCTCCCGCTTTGTGAAACCGGCCTTATGTCGAGCTTTCTCCCATGAATATCTTCTGGACATGACATTTGTCGCACACACGATGTTTGGATAAGCTCTGGCCTTGCGGTTACGAGTTTTCCGTTTTATGAAAAGTCATCAAACTTTGCAAGTTTGTCTTTGAAGGACACCTTGAAACGAGCAAAAACAACCCTAAAATGTCCACTTGAAACTAAAAATGGCAGACTTTCTGCCTCTTTTTTGGACTCGGCCTCTTGAGACGCTTGAGACGAATTTCATGTTGCCGAGCCAAACTGGTTTTCGACTGTGAAAACATACATCTCGGGCATCTCGGGCAGGAAGGAGACATGCTAAGAAACAAACAATAAAAGATATTTTTGCCACTTTGAAGACACCCTCTTACCTTTGCACAAGTTCGGTGCCTTATGTATCGTATGTATGATTAATTCTTGTTTGACCCTTTCACTGTTTTGAGATTTCCCCATGACCTTTCAAAGAACAACAACAGGTTCATGTTTCTATGGGAACGTGCAAATGTGGTGGATACACAAACACTTCTTGGTAAAGCGTTTTTTTTGGGGGGGGGGGTTGGTTTTAGGTCATGAGGCCCTCCTGTGTGGGCACGGCCAAGACGGTATCAGAGTAGAGGAAACATTTTGGACAGATTAGCCCTTATTCCACATCTGGCAGATGAGGGCTCTGTACTTTTCAATTGATGTGGTGACCCGGATATTTGAATCATTGAATTGAATTTCAAATATTTTTTGGCGGATTTTGTCGATCATGGTGGGGGTGTCTGATGCATCACTGGATTTTGGTGAAAGAATGACATTTGTGTGTTTTTTTTAAAAATTGTGGTTGCTGATACATGAACCAGAACCTTGTGCTCACAATCCATCGTTATTTTATCTCCACTTACCCGTCCGATGAGCACAGGTTCGGGGCCTCGGTACTCCTCAATGACGAAGAACTGGTTCCACAGCCAGCTCCTCTTCCGGCGAGATCGTGGCCGCCCGGTTCCTTGCGGTCTCCTTCTGTCAGGCTCTGCCTCCCGTGACCTCTCCTCACCCTGCGCGGCGGAGCCCTCCTCAATTGGCCCTTCAACTTCCACACGAGTCCTCCGCTGCGTCACGGTGAGCCCGGTGCCCAGATTAGCCGCTAAGCCCGAAGACGGCCGAAGTAGCAGATCTTGCGAAGTCACGCGGCCGGCGCGCAAGAAGAGAAGAAGAAGCACGACGTGTCCTCTCATCGCTGAAATCTCAGTGGACGAGCGCTGAGGAGTTGATGTCCATCTTCTTCGTGGTCTGCTGGATCATGTTGTGCAAATTCTGTTGGTCAAAAAAAAAAAAAAAAAAAAAGGTTGTGATTCACAGCACACACAGAAACAATACGTAAAATAAAGAATGAATGTTCAACAAAGAATTTCTCTAGCTCCTTGTTCGTCTCACTCATTATGACACCTTGACTGAAGTACCAGAGAGCACAAAGCAGCGAACCCTAACAAGCCAGACGTTCACCAAGTCCCCCCCCCCTGCCCCCCTGCTATTTTGAAGTTTTGCAGCGCATAGGAGACACTTTGATTGTCTCGCCACCAAGACGGTGGAAAGGTTGCTATTATCGTTCCAAAGGACACATATTCACAAGGCTTCCATTCAAAAGGAATATTGCACGCTTGACTTTGGCAATTTTTGCCATTACAATCACCGGAGAGAAGTCATAATTAGCTCATTAACCTTTCCGGGCTCTCAACTGGCCATTTGAACCGCTTTCGCTGTCTCAACACAAATGGGATGAAACTTCCGTGCCGATTTTCCTCAATTTTGTCATTTCCAACTTCAGCTCTTTAAATGTACGGGAAATATACTGTTTAAGCCAAATTGTACCCGTTGGCTCTCTCGCGGCCATCATTGACCGATTAGAACGTATGTAAACCAGTGGTGTCCAAACTGCGGTCCGGGGGCCGTTTGCGGCCCGCCATCCATTTTTCAGCGGCCCGCCACATGACAAAAATAATACATATAATACTAAAAATGACATTTGACGTGGGCCACAAGTTTAGGTAAATAAGGTGAAGGTGGGCAGAGTGAGAATGGAGGGCGTACTGTTGAACATTACGCAATATTCGAAGATCCAAATAAATGCTGAAAAGAAAAACACAATTTATCTTCAAAACACTTTTGTGACTGCAGATAATTCAATTTTAGAGGCAAAAATAGTTTCTTCCGAGTTGTGCTCTGTGGCTGATTTATGAAGACATCACATCCTCAAGGAAGTGAAAAATGGTCACCTTACTCCAGTTTTTTTTTTTTTTTTTTTTTAGTTCTGAATGTGGAGATGGTATTCGGCTGGATCTATTCTGTGAGATAAAAGGCTGTTGGCCACTCCAAAAACTTGGAAAGATCCTCAACTATTTTCCTTAACAACTTTAAAAGAAAGCTGATGAAGTTAACTTGGAAAAACAAATGATATAAAATTGCTTTCTTGACTGACTTGGTCCTTTCATCCTTCCATTTTTTGGTAGATGCCCGCCACCCCCTATAAAAAACTTTGGACACCCCCTGATGTATACTCTATTGTCTAATTTCTTCCTATTGACTGGATTTCATCGTACAACTTGGGAAAAATCGGTTTTAGTGAAGAATCAAACTTTTTTTTTTTTTCAACCCGATTATACAATTCATCAACTTTTGGAGCAAATTCATGTAATATTCTTCGTTCCTGTAAGAGGCCTTTAATGGCTTACCACGCTCCGGTGGAACAAATGAAAGATGCAATTTCAAGAAGTGGAGGTGACCGTTGAGAACAATTATATTTTAATTAAAAAAAAAAGTGAAAGCCCTCTCTGCCAGCTGTAGAAAGAGCGCACGATTAGCAATACAAGAAAACAAGGCGCAACTGTACTGAGAAAACGTGAAAGAAATGACGATGTTGCATACTGATGAAAAGAACCGATGGTCGTTCTAAACTTCATACCATAAAACATGCCAAGAAAAACTCAAAAAAATCTTTAAAATGACAGACTGATGGCCAAAAATATGCACGAGCGTGCTGTAAGGATTTGGATAAAGCCCAACCTGAGGCCTTTTCATCATGTTTGTCAACAATTTTGGGTGTCAGAACGCGGGTGACCTCCGCTGAACTGACCTGAAAGCGTGCCCAAAACTTGCTGCGCTAGTGATTGCGCCGCCACGTATACACCTTACTTTCTTCTTTTCCCCCCTGCAGGGGTGAAACCGCTTCTGCAGTACGACAGAAAAAAAACTAGATGCAAAAAGGGACACGGGGGACGGGGGCCACGTTTGTGGAAGGCAATCTGGAGGCAGGGGTGACACCCAGTAATATCGCTGAAGTCCAACGGGAGGTAAAAATGCTCAAAATGCATCTAGAAAATTGCTGAGTGCCTGGAGGGTTCACTCTGAGAAAGGTGTGTGGTTGGGTGGGTGGTGCGGTGTGGGGGGGGGGGGGGGTGGGCTTGACATCTTGGGAAAAAATAAAGTGGCTGCAATCTTGTGATCAGCATGCCAATTGTGTTTTCATCAGCATAAAAATCGGCGTCAACGACGTCAGCCCGTTTTCTAAATGGCCTTTGTTCCGTCAATTGAGAGATATTATTTGTCATTGTATTTGTTCTGTTGGCTGTAAAAACAATGTGGACAATAAAAAATAAATAAAAATAACAAATACGCACACATAAAGAAGCCAAACTCAAACCCCAGACCATGAAATGTGTGTTTGGATGATTGACTTGTGTGGTGATTTTTACAATTGCAACGCCACTTTGAAGCGTAAAATATTCACATTGGTGATTTTTGATCCTGGGCAGCAGTTGAAATAAAAACAGGAAAAAAAACCCCAAACAAAAACGATATCTTCAAAGATTTTTTGTTTAATGATTTTTCTAGTGTTTGATTTTATTGTATCATCAACATCAAAGGTGCACTCATGTTTTCTCCACTTTTTCTTCTTCCCAGTACGAGCGCGACGCAAGTTCAATAGAAGAGGGAAACTATTTTGTGTGCTGTGATGTTTATTTGTTCCTCGTACCCAGTTATCAAAACTGTAAATAATTGATGGTGAAAATCCTGTTCCGCTTTTCACTTTTGTACTGAAGCACACTTCAAATTGAACTCTTTTATTTCTTTATTTTTCGACTTTGATTCAGTACTTTTACCAAAGTTTTTTTTTTTTTTTTGTGACATAAGTAGGCCG